GTCTTTTTTTGTCTTCACTGCTCTCTCGATGACATCATAAGTTGACTCTATGCTGTGACCAGCTATCTTGTGAGCTTTGTCGGGAACAGATCAGAGAAAATGTTCGTGCTTCATGGTTAAGATCGGGATGACGTTCGAGCACCAACGGACAGAGGCGAAGACCTCCTAAGAGCCAGTCGTCTGGTCCATTTGCCTTGACCGGGAAGTCCTCCTTAGTGGGGCCAACGTTAAAGGGGGAGGCCTTTCTCCGCTGCGCGTGCTACGGGAGGCAACGCAGCGTGCGACCCGAGAGGGAAGCAACCCTCCGGCATCCTGCGGCACGGGGAAGGCCGACAGAGATCGGCATCCCCGTGCCTTCGTTAGTTCCTGCTCTTCAAGAAGTGCCTCCTCCCGCGCCGACTCGTTCGCTGCGCGCGATACCCACTCCCACGAAGTGAACTCTCGTGAGAACGTGATGACCTGTTGAGATCCAGTAGCGGTCGTTCGTGTAGCGTAAGCACCAGGCCACGACACTCTTCGTCTCGTGGTGCGCCTGGGCACGTCTGCACTAGATTGTGCAATGAGATCGGCCCGAAGAGCAGAGCAAGTCGATCACCACGGAAGCGGCCGGGGATTACGTCAAGATGGCACGCTCGGACTTCCTAAGGGGAACAGGCCTCCTCCTAGCCATGCGTCTTCTGTCCCCTGAAGAAGGTGAAGCGCGAAGCGACGCGCAGCCCAGCCATCCGGCCAAGAGTGCGCACAACGTTCTAACCCCGGACTTGGTCAACAGTCATTATCACGTGGCCTTTCGAGAGTGTCCCCCGTGACGTCTGGAGCATCGAGCCAGCAGAATGAAAAACGCGGTAGGCGAAAGTTCGTGTCGTGGTAGATGACCGACGTGGTTTCCACACAACAGACATCTGACGAGTGACACGTAGCTCTACTAGACGATCGGACCTCTCTCTCTACAATAGCAGCCACTGCACAGGTGCTCCGCAGCGGCTATACTCGCCCGCGATTTGTACCAATCATGCTGATTCGTATACCTGACACAGTTTACTATGATGATGCCAACTGGTCTGGACGCCGTCCGACCGTATTTGTCAATTAGAAGTCGAACTTGCAGCCACAGAACAGAATGTCTCTACTTGGCCGGGCTGCCGTTTTTTTAACGTGCAACGTTTTCGATAGATAGGCGCCTCTATCGAAAACGTTGCACGCAAAAAAACCGCTTCCTCGCGGGTGCTCGCGTGAATTCCCGGGCGGACACGTGAGGCACATGGCGGTCGACCGAAGTAGGACTAGGGATCAAAGCCGACAGAGATGAAGAATGAAAACTAATTTAGAGCCGTAGTAATCAAAGCTCAGGTGTCCACATGTAAAAATCCGTTTCGATTCAGGTGAATAACATGTGGACTTATGAACTTGTTATGCAACAGTGGGTTCTGACTCTCCTACGCAATACATATAAAACAATACAGACACCAAGAGGACGTTCTCGTGGTTCAACGGAAAACCTTTCGGGTGGCGAAAAACTTGTAGATCATCTTGACGCAAGACGCAAAACACGAGTGAATGAATGGATGTAGTTGATCAGAAATTGGGTCAGCGTGATACGGGGCGTTGCTGGAGCCACGCCACGCATAGGATTGAATAAGCCGCGCGTCTTCCTCACTCCAGATTCGAGTCGTGCAGCAGCTGCAAAACTAACGAGTGTTATATCATAGTTATGCGTCAGCGTGGCATCTCGCATGCAACGCTACTTCCCTCCGAGCCTTCAGTTATACAACGCGCGATTGCTTCAGTCAACCAGTACCTTTAGAGCTCAGGCCAACGAAAAGGATAGCGTACGACGACGTGAAACTCGCCTCATTCCAATCTAGAGAAAGAAGTCAGATCGTCTAGTAGAGCTACGTGTCACTCGTCAGATGTCTGTTGTGTGGAAACCACGTCGGTCATCTACCACGACACGAACTTTCGCCTACCGCGTTTTTCATTCTGCTGGCTCGATGCTCCAGACGTCACGGGGGACACTCTCGAAAGGCCACGTGATAATGACTGTTGACCAAGTCCGGGGTTAGAACGTTGTGCGCACTCTTGGCCGGATGGCTGGGCTGCGCGTCGCTTCGCGCTTCACCTTCTTCAGGGGACAGAGGACGCATGGCTAGGAGGAGGCCTGTTCCCCTTAGGAAGTCCGAGCGTGCCATCTTGACGTAATCCCCGGCCGCTTCCGTGGTGATCGACTTGCTCTGCTCTTCGGGCCGATCCCATTGCACAATCTAGTGCAGACGTGCCCAGGCGCACCACGAGACGAAGAGTGTCGTGGCCTGGTGCTTACGCTACCTGAACGACCACTACTGGATCTCAACAGGTCATCACGTTCTCACGAGAGTTCACTTCGTGGGAGTGGGTATCGCGCGCAGCGAACGAGTCGGCGCGGGAGGAGGCACTTCTTGAAGAGCAGGAACTAACGAAGGCACGGGGATGCCGATCTCTGTCGGCCTTCCCCGTGCCGCAGGATGCCGGAGGATTGCTTCCCTCTCGGGTCGCACGCTGCGTTGCCTCCCGTAGCACGCGCAGCGGAGAAAAGGCCTCCCCCTTTAACGTTGGCCCCACTAAGGAGGTCTTCCCGGTCAAGGCAAATGGACCAGACGACTGGCTCTTAGGAGGTCTTCGCCTCTGTCCGTTGGTGCTCGATGAGTCCAAACTGGGAAGGTAAAGGTGGTCCCATATCATTGCCATATGGCTGCGCTGACGTCAGTCGCCCGCCGTTCTCCGGATGCGATCGATGCGAAAGTAGCATGACGACAGGCGACAGAGTTTGACACGTACTCGATGGAGGATGGCGGCAAGCAGTGCCCGTTCGTGTCGTAGCTCTACTGCACAACACGCAGTCGTCGAGCGCTCAACGTCGTGCCGAAAACACACTTGTAACATGTGACGATACCGTCCATGAAGTCAACGACGTCGATCGATTGTCGAGGCAGTGGGGCCACATGGGGACGATCCGAGCGGTCACATCAGTGCGTGTAACGTGTGGTAACGTTACCACACAAAGAGGCCTCGAGTTCGTGTTCATGCGCGCAGTAAATACAGTCGCAACGTGACGCACGAAGCAGCGGCATGTAGGGCTATGTTGACAGCTACAGCAGCTTGCGTGGCCGCGGCTCAGATCGCAACGACCACAGCCATGGCGAGGCAAGTGGCGAGCCAGCGCTTGTCGACCATACCGGTAGCGCGACCAATGTGTTCACGGACCAGACACTTGAAGCTGCGTTCGGTCGTCTGCAAGAGCAGCGAAAGCAAACGATGCAGTGAGCAGACTAGTTTGGTCTGGTAGATAGAGGCTCTCGTGAGCAGACCCGACGGTGCACTGTTGCGTACGCTACTCCGTTCACTGCAATGGACTCGACGGCAGGTCGATGGATGGCGCTGCCGTGCAGTGCAAAAAGTGTCCACGAAGCTGTGCGCGTCGTAGGTGGGAGATGGCTCGATGAACGACAGGAGGAATGAGTCGAATGGTGGTCTCGATCGAAGCTGACACTCGAGACAGACAGTAGACTTTGGTACCCGCAGCGAGAAGGTTTAAACCCGCCTGGAAGGACTCGGCAGCAAGCCGTGATGTGTTGACTGACTGACTGGCAACGGACACTTTCTCGCTCGCACTGTGAGCAGTTCGCAAAAAGGGTCTTCCACCTCGACCGGCACTTGCTCTCGATACGCGTAGCACTGATGCACAAGTGGCAATGGATGCGTTCAAGCTCGCAATCCACGACGGACGCACGTATGGACGTACGGACGCACAACGTGCTACTCAGCAACGCGTGGCGCTGCCCCACGCGCGTGCAATCGCTCGTCGTCTCGCGCCCAAGTGTCTCCTACGTACGCAATGCGTTCGGAGCGTTTCCCTCTGCCGTTTGCCGTCGGTCGAGTGACCGTCGTCAGGGCGCAGAGAAGCGGTTTCTCTGTCCCCATGTGGCACGTTGCGCGTCTTACCGCTGTGTGTGCGGCAGGATCGCTCGCTCGTCGTTGACCGGACTGGGAAAGATCCGGTCGACACGCGTGGGGGCAACAAGCGTGTCGCACTCGATCCAGTTGAGCTCCTGGGACACGAACGATCTTTCGGCCACGACATGCGATCGTGCAGCAGGGGGCGTGAGGTTGTAAGTCGTGGCATTGTCGTCGCGGTCGCGTCAACAGTGACAGCGTCGCGGCGTTGACGTGCACTGCATCGGGTCCCGACCCAAAAGCCGTCCACAACTGACGAGATCTCGTTTTCCGACGGCTTTTTTTCGGGGCAAGACCCAATGCCACTGCGACTGCCACTGCCACTGCCACTGCGACTGCCACTGCTGCTGCTGCTTCACACGGCGGAAAGACGAGCGGACACAGTGCGAGTGCAGCGGTTGACTGCCTATTTACTCGACGCATTGCGCTCTCGCTGTGTCGCTCAGTGGCTGGCTTGCCCGTGGGCAGCTTTTGGCGAGGGGGCAACGTCGGGCCCCCGTGCTTGTCCCTGCAACTCGATTTGCAGGAGCTGTCGCACGAGCTGCGTGTGTCATCGACGTCAGGATGACGGGCACCGGTAGAGTTGCCGATGGGGGGGGGGGAGGGGGTTCCCGAGTCCAGCGATGGGCGAGAGAGGCAGATAAGGTTCGTGCATAGCAGATGGTGCGCTCAGGCTCGCAAAGTCAGCTGTCTCCTGGAAGACGTGCAGGCGCATCATCATGAGGGCGTGGCCGACCATCCGACAACGTTGAGCTACACCTACGCCCAGTACGCCTTGGACGGCTCCTGCTACGATGATGAGCAGTAGAAGCCGCAGGACCAGTAAGAGTGGTATTATGTGCGCACCAGCAGCTCCAATTGATCGCTGCAGTAAAGAGCGAGCGAGCGAGCGACTTTCTTGTCGCGACGTCCAGTTGGCGAAACCAGTCGACCGGCATCGAGTCATTCTTGAATTTCCTCGCCGTAGCCCACGTCAAGCACCACCGCTTCGCCTCTCGATTGCTTCCCCGATGCAGTCGCTGCTGCCTCTCGTGGCACTCGCCGCATGGGGCCAAGTGACCCTCATGGCTGCTGCTTCTTCAAGTGCTGCGGCTACGGCGACTGCAGTGGCAACCCGCGTGGGCAACGCGACGGACGACGCGAGGGCGCAGATCACGTCGAAGGTCCACACGCCCGAGGACTTTGCGCTGGACGACGACTCCGAAGAGCGAGGACTTGCCGGCGAGACTGTTAAAATTGCGGAGGGACTGTCGGGCTTGGCGAGTCGTCCGCTTTCCAACTGGAGGAGAGCCATGGAGGCCGTGAAAAAGCAGCCATTGCCTCCCAAAGAAATGAAAACGTTTCTGCCTTCTGAGGAGGTACTCCCGGCACTTCGCACGCTCAATATACCCATAAGGCAATTCGCCGAGGGGAAAGGCGGCAAGTGGGTGCAGACAGGGGACGACTCGTGGAGGACAGCCTTTGGAGTGAAAGAAGGCGACCGTGTGACTGATGCTACGGAGAAGGTGCTGGAGAATGCGAGGGCCGCCATAAAGAAGCACGCGGAAACTTACAATCCGAAAACACGAAAGACAGATCTGAGCCAGACGAAGGATGAAAAAGTCTTAGGGGAGGATGGCAAGATCCTCGCACCGCTCGTTGGTCGAGAAAACCAAATTTACCTCGACAAGGATAAAAAAATACGTGTGGTGACCTGCAGTGTCGTGGTAGATAAAGAAGGAAAAGTCCTTCTCATTAGCAGCTCGAACCCCGGAAAGATTGATGATTGGCTTCTTCCCAAGGGCGGCTTGGAACGTACTGATGAAACTGTGCCAGCGTCGGCGGAGCGTGAACTACTTGAAGAAGCAGGAGTACGTGACTCTCTCTTTTCTTTTTTGCTATGTTCGAACTAATGTGCTGCTCCTACATGGTGCAGGTCACAAGTGCAGCTCGTGCTTACATCGGACCGAGGTATGTCGAGGCGGGCGCGAAAGACAAATACTACATGCACGTTTTCAAAGTGGAAAGCCCGACTAAGCTTGATAAGTGGGCGGAAAACAAGCGGCAGCGCATATGGGTACGCGAAACGATGGACCAGGAAGCAATGAAATGCACTGATTGGTGAGATGAACGAAAAGCCTGACGGTGTTTGTGTGTTTGTCTGTCCTACGCAGGTTCCCTATGCCGATGCGATCCGTCTCTTGAGGAAGAAACGTCCACATCTGGCTGAGTTCGTGTACGAGGCTTCGAAGGTGAAAGCTACCGAGACGGTGAAGCACGCTTTGGCCCCTGCGTCGCCCAAGCTTAGCGCCAACTAGCTCCGTCAACTCGAGGGGCCGACACACTGAGCCGCGAACTCGAACTCGCTTGATGAAGCGAACAAGAGGCCCCATTTGACTTGTGCGTCTGGGGATGGGAGGCAGTGGTAGTGGTGGTGGAGTGTGGGTCGATTGTATCGAGCAGCGATCAAGCGCGACAGCTGTGAGTCGTTGACTTGTTTGAAAATGCATCTTTGTTTTTTTGCTAAAGAGACTTCTTCTCGCTCGTTTGTTGACAAGCGGGTACAGAATTCCTTGGGCACTGTGTTCGACCAAGAAGTTCCCGCTGGCTTTACAAAGCGATCGCATGTGCCTTTGTTGTCAGGTGGCTCACGCTGTAGACGCCTTAGCGTTTGTTTGCCTGATCTGCACGTAGTGGAGACAGCGTCAAGACCATCTGTGATCACGCGAGAAGGGGTCTGGTGAAACAGGAGTACATTGAGTCGAAGGTCTTGATCGCGGACCGGTGGACAACGATGTTGCCAATCCCAAAAATGGCGGCGCTGAGAAAGCTTGTTCACATGAGCAAAGTCAACTGTCGCCGCGGTCACCGCGAAGAGTATGGTAGCCGAGGAGGAGTGTTAGCTCTTTTCGCGGGTACTGTTGCTCGATAAGACGGCGCGTGGGATGAGCTTCAGACAGCAAGATCGGCCGAACGCCCTCGCGATCGTACAAATAGCTCAACTGGATCGGGAGCGACACATGCGTGTGCGCTCGACCGAAAGGAAGTCAAACGGAAGAAACGACTGCTGACAGTCCCGTTCACAAAACCCGTAGGTAGGTATATCCCTTCTCGCTTACCCACTACACTATCACTTTCAGTCCACGACGAGCAAGGTCGAAAAAAGTGGCCTTTGTGCAGGGAAAGCCATGCCATAGCAGTCGGTACGGGTTTTCCCTCCCCACGCGTTGAGGATTTTCCAGCGATGCGAGTGCTTGATATGTTTTGATCGCAGGTCCCCACCGATGCCGTCTTGTCGGCACAAGTCAATCGAAAGACTGGGGGCCGAAGACTAGCTGGCGGTGCGATATGGATGCAATGTTGTTGAAACGTGCGTGGTAGCAGCAGGTGGAGAGTACATGATCGGTATCGTATGCGTCGGTCTCGTCGGGTGGAGCTGAAGCGATTCATGATCAGAGGCGGTTCAATGCTGCAAGCTTTTATTTTTTTCCTGCTCGGCGCCTTCTTCCTCACATATGTTGCCAGTGCAGTTTTGACCATCCTCTAGCGCCGCGCAAGCAGCCCCGATGTCGTGCACAAAGTTGAAATACACGTAGCGACAGTCGAACTCCATGTCGTGCCAGTAATTCACAGAGACTGTAGGGCACAAGTGCGCTGCACGGTGATACCACAACGATGGCAGGTATAGGACCTCCCCGGCATGCACCACCACTTCGATCGGATTGAGCGCTGCAGCTAGCGGATACCGCTTTTCATCAATGTCCAACGGGTCCACTGGAATCCATGGCGTATCTCCTTTGTCGCTCGACGACCAAATGGACCACTGCTCATACTGAGGGTACTTGTCGTGAAAGCGTTTGGTGGCAACTCGATCCACTACCAACTGTTCGTCCGCGTCCGGCTCAGGTGACGCTCTGTGACGATACCTCGCCGAAGGGAACTCCCGCTCGTACAAACATCCCACTGCTGACGGTGGCAGCAGTGTAAAGTGCTTCTGACCTTTTACGACGCAGTACATGTTCTGTCATACACAGCACACCCACGCCGTCAGTTTTTCTTTTCCCACGACCATCGAAAACAGCTCAAACGCGACAGTGGTCGTCGTCGCGCCACGCACTTCATAGTGGTCTTTGTGCATTGTTGACACGGCTCTCTCGTCGCCAATCCAGAGGTTCACAGCTTCCGGTTCGTTCCCAAAAGCTTCGACGGCCAGCGCTATCGCTGGCGGCACTTCTTGAAACAGACCTGGCAGTTGCTCGCGCAAGCTGTCGTTCTGGTGCGACAGGTACGGGACCCCGTGGCCCGCGGTACGCGCGTGCAGCCACTGGAGAAAGTCCGCAAACGGCATGTCGCGCTCTTCCGGCATCACAAACAGTGCGTCAGAAGACGCGCTCGAGCATTCCAAGACCGCGTCGCCGACCCCAAACGGCGTCACGTCCACCGTGACAACGGCGGTCCCCGCTCGCTTGACCAAGTGCGCGTCGTCTTGCCACGCCGCACGGGCCTCTTGCCACGCAGCTGACGTCATGGCGTTTAGGAGCACGACAGGGACGTTGCGGCTCACGAACTCGCGATGGAACTGCAGTGGGGTCAGGTCGACGGCATCGACGCGGCGGAGGGACTGCAGGGGCGCCCAAAAGTCCTGTGTATCGCTCTGGAGACGCCGGAGCGCAGCAGCTACGGAAGGGGTCATAAGTCTTGAAATGACTGGTCGTAAACGAGGCACACGTGAGCTAATACTGTCGCCGTGGGGTCTGTCTCAGCGGCCCGCGACAGCGATAGGCGCAGCTGGTGGCGTGCGCTATTTGAACCCATGTGCAGCGGTATGTACGACACACCAGAACCGTGAGAGAGGTCAGATCGTCTTGTTAGAGCTACTTCTCACTCGTTAGATGTCTGTTGTGCGGAAACCACGTCGGTCAACTACCGTGACACGAACGTTCGCCTACCGCGTTTCTCGTTCTGCTGACTCGATGCTCCAGACGTCACGGGGGACACTCTCGAAAGGCCACGTGACGAGACGCAATATGACTTGCGAGCTCTCGAACCGACCGACGATCGCACGTGGCATTCCGTCGTCGGCACGTTTCCAGTCGTGTGTGTGTGTTTCATGTCAAAGGCTGACGTGACCCGCGTGGCAGTCCGTCTGTGCTGGACGACCACTTGCGTCTGCAGAAACACATGGACAGAGTGGTGAGAGTGGTAGCACTCGCTGCCACGCGCTCGTGCCATTCGTCCACAGTCGTTCGTCGCACGTCCACGTACGCACACACGAGTGCGACGAACACTGTTCGGCGATCGACACGTCGTCAAGTGCGGACGCCGTCCCATTGAGCGGAACGTTGTGCTGCTTCAACGCCACGTTCCTCTGCTAGCAGCAGCAGCAGTACTACTACTACTACTACTACTACTACTACTACTACTACTACTACTACTACTACTACTACTACTACTACTACTACTACTACTACTACTACTACTACTACTACTACTACTACTACTACTACTACTACTACTACTACTACTACTCCTACTACTACTACTACTACTACTGCTACTACTACTACTACTACTACTACTACTACTACTACTACTACTACTACTACTACTACTACTACTACTACTACTACTACTACTACTACTACTACTACTACTACTACTACTACTACTACTACTACTACTACTACTACTACTACTACTACTACTACTCCTGTGCCTCCTCTTCGACTCTGTATGGCTTTCTCGATACGAGGGCACAAGCGGCCTGCACGTGAACATGGGGACACGCTCGTCTCGGTCGTCTTTGTCCCGTCGTGCCCATCCAGTGCGGAAAAGCAGCTTCTCGCCGCCGAAACAGGTGGCGGGCGGGTGGGTGAGCTGCCCCCGCACCACTGTGGCGATCGTTGATGTCCCGGCAACAGCCGACTCGCTGCTCTTTTGCTGCAGTCGATCGAGCACTCGACCGCATCACTTGTCCTTTGCTCGCTCCCTGCGTACCACACGGCGATCTCTCTCTGTCCTTCGTCCTGTGTCCTCTGTCCGCCTCGTCCTCCTCCTGCTCCTCGTCGTCGTGGGATGTACCCGCCCGAGCCCTTGACACTGTCGGCCGAAGACGAGCGCACGATCGAGTCGCTGGCCGACCGCCTCGTGGTCGAGACGCTGCACGCCAGCGAACGCTTTGCCGTGCGCGGGCAGACCGTCGACCCCACGCGCTGGAAGCTCCTCAAGAAGAAGGACAGCATTGTCGTGTACCAAGAGCTGCCCGGGGCGCGCGCGCGCGATCGCCTCTGGAGCAAAGACACTGTCGTGTTGTCTGCGTCGCGTCCATTGACGCCCCAAAGTGGGTACACGACGCCGTCGACGGGCGGACACGTCCTGCCCGTGGCCGACCACGACGACCTCGAAAAGAGTCGGACGTCAACCGCCTTCGCATCCTTTGGGGCCCGCACGAGCGCCGAAGACGACGACAGTGTGCTGCGCCGCTTCCAACCGGCCGACGTCCCGACGGTGTGCTCGGCCGGGACGTTCCCCGGCTCGATGGAGGACATGGCGCTGGCGTTCTTTGCCGACTCGGACGCGCGCACGCGCACGCGGTTTACGTCGAACAAGGACGTGGCCGTGGACGACATGCGGATCCTCGCGCGGCTCCAGGGCCCGAGCGCGGCCGACCCGTTCCGCTTCCTCGGGATCAAGTGGTGCACGAACGCCCCGCGAATACTCGTCGCGCTCGTGGTCAAGCCGCGCGACTACCTCATTATCGAGTCCACTGGTATGGCGCTCGACGCGAACGGCGAGCGCTTTTGCTATATGCTCAACCACTCGATCGCGCTGGCTGCCGTCCCGGACTTTCGCGCGTTTGGCCTCGTGCGGACCGTCTTCTCGGCCTGCCACATCATGCGGCGGCCCAGCGCACTGAACGACGCCGTCCGGATCTTCTCGAGGGGGTTCTTGCTCATTAACGGCCGATTCAGTGTCCGCAGCAGTGCCGCGCAGTTTGCAGAGGGCCTCGCGGTTGTGCCCCGGATGGTCGAAGAGGCCTATTCCACGAAACTCGCGTGGCTGATGGAGACCGCCCAGGCGCGATCGCACACGAGCAGCAGTGGCCACGCGACGGCCGACCACAACAACAGTAGCTTTGGCAGCAGCAGCTTTGGCAGTAGCAGCGTTGGCAGTCGCAGTACGCGCGGGTCCAAGACCGCTGCCGAGAAATCGAGTCTCTGTTCGTGCTGCCACGTGAAACTACTGAGCGTGCGACTGAGCAGCCTCGTGTCGACGAGCAGAGGCGAGTGCAGGCTGTGCCACCAGATTGTCTGCTACAAGTGCACAGTCAAGAAGCTCCTGCCGCTCGAAGGCGCGCGCGGACGACAGGTCAAGACGAGAGAGCTCGAGTTTTGCCTCGACTGCTACTTGAAAGCCAAGCGGCTGTCGGCGTGGCACGTTGCCCTGGCCATGCTGAACACGCCCCTGCCGTCATGCAGCACTGACGTTCCTCAGGCAAATCGATGAGGAGGATGAGGGTGTTGCACAAGACATGTCTTGCACTGCCAAGTGCAGCAGGTCCACCCACGGGCGCGACATGTTCACTGCAACAAATAGAGATACTCATGGACCGATTGACCGATTGACCGATATATCGATACACAGAGATACATCGACTCATGCCCTGGGCAAAGGGTTGCAAGACTGCTGTATCTGCTTGAAACGCCGTTTGTTCGAGCGCGCGAATGAGTGAGTGCCTTTATATATACGGACGATACGTAACACCGACTCGCTCGGTCTTCCTAACATGCTCTATCTTCATTTCCCAAGTGCTGCAATGAGCTTAAACTACTAACCACTCTCTCTCTCTCTCTCTCTATCGCCCCAGTCTTCTCGACAAGACTTGCACACGTGCACCAGAGGCACAATGTGCATTGAGTTTCACCACCACGTCGACACGTCACCTCCACTCGCGCTCTTTCGCTACGCTCGAGGCAGCGTCGCCACGGCAACTTTCCACGCCGACAACTGCTTGGCCTTGACGTAACACGCCGAGCAAAAGTCAATGCTCTTTGTGCTCGTCGAGTCAATCGGCAGGTGTTTCTTCACGGTGCACTTCTTGCAGACGTTGCCCCGACAGAGAAAACACGTCGTGTCGTTCTCCAAGAGCTTCTTGAACCCCTTTGTCGGTAACTTGTGGCAACACGCACAGCCTCTGTGCTTTGCCCCCCCACGACTACTGTCACTGCCGTCCCCGACAGCGTCGGGACTGTCGCCGTAGTGCAGTCGCTGCGGCCGCCGCGCGCACGCGTGATGGACAAACCACGCGAGTTTCTTCAAATACGACTCCTCGACCACTTGGGCCGTGTCGAGCAAACCTTCGCAGAACATGTGCGTGGCCTTGCGCACGCGAAAGAGCCCCCCGGCGTAGCAAAAGCCGCGGCAGTAGACTTCAACCTGCCCGGGCGTGCAGTAGGGCCGCACGATGCGGCAGCTCGACATGCGCAGGCGCACGAGGCCGCGTTTGCGGTACTCGGGCACTTCGTCAATGTCGACCGAGTGGCTCAGGAAGTAGCACACGCGCTCGCCCGTGGCGTCGTACGTGAGGCCCGTGGCCTCGAGCACAACAGCGTCGCGGGGCTTCTCAACGCCTTTCGACGACGCCGCGTAGGCCGTCCACTTGAGGCCGAGGAACCGGAACGGGTCCTCGCGCGTCGGCCCCCGCAGCTGCGCGAGAATGCGCAGGTCCTTTGTCGTCACGTCCTTGTTCGTGGCGGCGGCCCGCAAGAGACTGCGGTCTTCCGTGTCCGCGAGGAACCCGAGACCGGCGTCGTCGACAGAGCCCGCGATGACGCCGCAGCCAAAGACCATTGGCGTGTGCGCCGGGCGCGACTTGTCGAGCACACTCTGCTCGGGCGCGTCTTCCATGTCCACGCGGCTGTTCTCGTAGTAGTCCGAGTCGCCCCGGGCGCCCGCCGCGAGCACAGAGCTACTGCTGTCGTCGTCCGAGCCAGTGCTCGTGCTCCGGTCGCACGACGCCAAGTGCGAGTGGCCGCGGCCGAGCAACAAGTCGCCGTACGTGCTGCTGCTGTCGATCGAGTACAACTTGGGGCGATGGACGAACGACGACTCGACTGCTTCTTCCGTGTCGCAGCGGTCGCGGCGGCGGCCGCGTTTCGGCCGGTGCCCGCGCGAGCGGTACGCCGTCATGTGGCCGCGCTGGATCACGACTTTCCAGCGGTCGAGGTCGACGGCCCGCCGGTCGGCGAGGAACCCCTCGCTGGCCTGCACGGTCTCGGCCACGAGTTGGTCCGCGAGCGCCTCGTAGTGCTCGACGTCGGCGCGCGAGAGCAGGAGCTGAGGTGGGGGGAAGACGTGGCCGGCGTCCCACGAGTGGCCGAACCGCATTCGGGCGAACGGCCGTGCGGAGACGGTAGTGGTGATCGTGAAGAGGGCGTTTCGAGAGCGCTATACGCGACGGGCGCCCGAGCACAATGAAAGGCACAGACTTGCAAAGACACACACACACACGTGCAGTGTCGAGTGCGGATACGCTGTGCTCGGCACGACGTGCGAGTTGCGAGCGGCTGACCGACCGCGGGCAAAGGCGAGAGAGAGAAAGTGACCGACTGCGCCGCGCGAGGCGATGAAAAGCGATGAAGCAGTCGGTCAATCGGGCGATGAAGCGATCGACCGATCGGTCGTTCCGTCCTGTGCCAACGTCATGCACCGGCGAGTGTCTCACCGCGTGCTCGAGCGAGCGCCGATAGCAGAGACCTGCTCCTGGGGAGCGAAAAGGGGGAGGGGGGGCGGGCGGGCGGGCGAGGGAGAAGGCCTATCCAGTCAGCAGCACCGTGTGACCGGTTGGGAGCCCCGCGAGCTAATCAGGACCGAATACGGCCCGGCCAAGCGCGGGTTGGAAAGGAGGAAGAGGAGTTGTTGTTGTTGCTGCTGCTGCTGCTGTTGTCGTCGTCGTCGTCGTCGGTCGCGGCTTTGTGAACGAAAAGAGCTGCGGCTGCGGCTCCTGTTGCTGCGGCTGCGCGCGGCATAGGACGAAGAAGATGAAGCGGTGGAATCGGTTGGTGCGCCGCCGCCGCTTTTGCGGGAGACAATGGCAGAGAGCGAACGAACGGGTCGTGCAACGAGGACGCGCTAAAGATTGGCAGTCGGTCTCGCGCGACCCATTGTCGAGCATGCGGCGCTCGTGCCGTGACGGTACGTGGCGACGACCACCTGGAAATATTCAGCGCGGATGCGCTCGGCGGCAAGCACGTGTTACGTACGCAACGTGTGAAGCGTCGATGGGTCGGTTTCGGCTGTTACGCGCGTGATGCTATCGAAGGGGATGAGAGCGATCGGTGATCGGTGGAAATCAGGGGCGCGCTCGGGGCTTTATCTTTTGTTGCTGGTAGAGACGTGCGCGATGGATGCCACGACGTGGCGCTTGCCAAGCGATACGTACGCATTGGTGACGATGGATGTACATATTGTTGACAGTCCGATTGGTACTAGTGTAGTAGTAGTAGTAGTAGTAGTGGTAGGAGGAGGAGGAGGAGGAGGAGGAAGAGGAGTACCATTACGAGCGTCTGTGCGGACAATGGCAGTCTGTCAGAAGTCTGTAAAACGCTGTTGGTCGATTCGAGACATGGGGTGGATGGACGCACAGGCAGCCCGCGGCTACGTCGAGCAGACGCTCACGTGAGACAAGTGGGCAGTTTTTTTACAGCCGCCGTGTGGAGAATGCTTAGATGAGACTGGTCGAAGCCGAGGCAGTCGTCACGTTGCAGTGGTGCAAACGAAGCAGTGAGGTCGTCGAGACGGTGTGGTGTGTGTGCGCTCGTGTGTATCCACTGCACGAGTTTGGATGATGGGCGCATTCTATGTGGGTCAACTTTCGGGGAATCCATCTCTCTCTTTTTCCTCGGCATTTCTCACAACACAAGTGCGGTAAACGATGTTGCAGTAAGAAAGAGAGCGACATAGAGCGCGCGCGAGACACAGATGGGGTAAAGTGTCTGGAGGCACTCGACGAGTCGATGGGCTTTTCGCTGGCCGACCGCAGTTCAGAGCGTCACTTGGCAACAAGACACGATTGGACTGTGGACGACGAACACGGGTTACACACTTTACTCGATGTGCCGTCCGTATACAACGGACGAGGGCTTCTTTCGGTGCAGCGCTCTTGGTCTCGACCGCGTCGTGCGTCAAAGTGCTCACAGGCAGCAGCGGTAAGAAAAGATGTGTAGACACACTACGGTACGACTTGATCGCCCTACGCACCTTTGACGTGCAGCACGTGACACTGACGAGCTGGTCAATGATGTCGATCTCACCTGCGTGTCCGAATAATCACAGCAACGACCACTACCACTTTTGATCTGCAGGTCATCACTACACCTGTCGAAGGAGGAGGCGACTCGTGATTGTTTTGTCCGTAGAGCTCGCACGGTCATCTATCCGCAATGGCTCTTGCGTGCTCTATTCCCCTCACATCTTGGGGTGCTGCTACCTTTTCGGATAAAACAGCGCTCTAACTCGAATTACAGTCGACGACCCGAATACAGCAACGGCAATACAGCTACGACGCCGCACTCGGGTGGTGGTGTTATTCCCGTCAGTGTTCCGTACAGACGCCGCGACGCACAAGCGCTTTCTCTCTTCATGCACACATTTATTAGATAGAGAACCGACAGTCTACTTCTTTTGGTCCGCAAAAGGACAGACGACGCCCGCCTCATCATGGCTCGCAAGAGTCAGGTAGAGGGCGTCGTTATGTGTGTGTGTGCGTGTACGTGTGCGTGTGCGTGCTCGTTCCTATTACTACTACTGCTACTGCTACTGCTGCTGCTGTCCCTGTTCGAGCTGGAGCTGGGCGACCGCCACGTCCCACGCGGACAACTTGCGCGTCGTAATGACACACGAGACACAGAACGTGAGTTGCCGCTGGATGTTTTCCTTCACGTCGAGCAGCAGTTTCTTCTGCACACTGCACTTCTGGCAGATCAGCTGTCGGCAGATCGCACAGGTCCCACCTGTTTGGATGAGCTTCCCAAAGCGTTTGGTGCTCTTGTGACACACGCTGCAGGCATTAGCGGTCGCACCGGATGCAGGTACGTTCGCGGCCCGGTGGCACGACAAGCGATACACGAGTTTCTTGAGGTACGAGGCCTCGACAATGCCCACGACGTCGACAATGCCTTGCGAAAAGACACTCAAGCCCACCACGGCGGGCAAGTTCCCGCCCATGTCGGCGTACCCGCGGGCGTACACTTCAATCTGCGTCTCGGACGTTTGCCGCATGATAAAGCACACGGACAAGTTCATGCGCACGACGTTGCACCAGTCAGGCAGCAGCGGACACTCGTCGAGTTCGACCGAGTGCGCGAGACTGTAGTACACGCGCTCGCCGTCCGAGTCGAGCGCAATGCCCGACGACTCGAGGAACAAGAGGTCCCGCCGGGAAGCAAAGGCCGCGATGGGCCGCGTGGCCCACTTGATGCCCACGTACCGGAACGGATCTTCTTCGGTCGGTGCCTGGAACGACGCCAGCACTTTGCGCCCGTCAAAGCCGTCGTTCTTGACGTACGAGTTGCGCTTGAACCACGCGTCGTCCGTGTGCGCCAGGGCCCCAAAAGCCACGTCTTCAATGTGGCCATCAATGGTCCCAATGGCCGTCACGAGGGGGACCTGCGGCGGTTTCACCTTCTCGAGGACACTCTCTTCGGGGAACACGCAGAACGCGCCCGTGTCGCTCGACGAACTGTGCGTCGACGAGTGCGACCGCGACGTGCCACTGTCGTCTTTGCCCGCCGAACGTTCGAGGAACGACGCGTCCTCGTCGTCCGGCGTGAACCCATGCGGGCGCCCCGCGGCATGCGCCTGCCGCTGTTGCCGTTCGATCGTCTCGTTCGACAGCAGCCGCGGGCGACTCACTTGCCGCGCGTGCACGAGCTCGAGCGACTTTTTCGCGTCCGCGCGCCGCGTGCGGTACACGTGCACCTTTTCGCGCGACTTGACGTGTTTCCACAGCCGCGCGTCCACTTGGCGGTGGTTGGCAATGTACTGCTCGTACGACCGCAGGGCTTCGGCCACGACGCGGTCGGCCGTGTCGGTGAGCGCCAACTGGCGCTCCCGTGCGAGCGTCACGGGCAGTGGCACGAGGCCGTCGAGGTCCTTAAACACCATCGAACCGTCAAAGGCAACGACGACGTCAACTGCGACGACGTCAATAACACACGCAAACAGAGACAGACGGTGGGTGGCACTTTGTCCACTGGAAGTTTTATTGGAGTGTGTGGCTGCTGCCGACGATCGCCGAAAGAAAGCGCCGACGGGGCGACACAGCGGGGCGAGTGGCGCGCGAGCTGCTGGTTGGCTGATTGACTGACTGACTGACTGGTGACGTCGGCACGTTTTTCCGGCTCGTCGCTGGCGTTGTCGATGCAACCATCAACTAGTCCTCCTACGAGTGCTAGGACACTGGTACTAGGACTACCGCTGCTGCAACTGCTGCTGCTACTGGGACTTGCACTGCTGTGTTTGCAGAAGTCGCGACTTTCTGTTTTCGTGCCAGAAGTAGGACAAGTCGCTTGTCGCGGGGCTCGCTGTCGGTTGAGACAGCGCTTGGAGAGGGAAAAAAAGAGACCACGCTGTGCTTCGCCCGCGCGACCGTAATCGTTGTGTCGCTGCGTTCTTCTTCTTCCTCCTCCTCCTCCTCTTCTCGCTCTTCCTCCTCTTCTTCTTCTCGCTCTTCTTCTTCCGCTTCTTCCTCTTCTTCTTCTTCTTCTTCTTCTTCCTCCTCCTCTTCACCCTCTACTTGTCCGTCTATTTATATACCAACAGCTCCGGTATGGCACCTGCTGGTCGTTGCAAAAAGAGAGAGAAGCAGGAAGAGCTCGTGGCGTGGATCGGGCCCCGTCCTGCTCGCTGCTCGGAGCGTGGATCGGCAAACCGAGCGGCTGGCACGCGCACGGATGGACGGCTGACGGGGAGACGAGGGGCGAAGTGGTGCAGCAGCAGCAGTTTCTAACTCGCGGGGTGCTCAAGTGCCTTCACACGCTGTCGTTCGTGATCGAATGTATGTTTGCGAACGTGCACGTGCAGCATAAGACTGATCGAGCCATCTTGTGTCTGCTGCTGGCGTTACGTCCGTCATTGTTGTGGTTGCGTCCGCCGCAATGATCACGCCCACTCTTACTCGGCGTTGACCCCGACATGTTTTGACAGGGGTCGACTCCACGCCATGCGACGACGTGTGTGGCCGCTGCCCCCCATCGCAGGGCAGCAGCTCACGATGGTTGACACAACCTGTCCAGCAAACGGTACGCGGGGGCTTTCGCAGCAACGCGACGGCGGCAGCTGTAAGCAAACGACGACAGAGACTTGTGCGTGCTCTGGCTGCGGCCGCACGACACGCACTTCCTTGTCTTCAACTCGCAGCGTGAAGAAAAGAGGCGACGAGAGCGTTCTCTCGACCGCTGAACGATCCATGAACGCGACAGGTGGCGCGAACTGGAACGCGCGTGTCGACAAAGGAACCAAAGGCGTCGACGGTCTTTCTCTTCGCCGAGTTCCTTCAGTAGCAGTTGCCGCACTTGTCCCTCACTCGCCCTTTGCTGCTTCAGCTTTTTTCGCGGTCTCCACTAAGTTGACTGTCTGTCGTCTTGAGCAACGGGATGGGCCGAGATACTGTTTGTTGCCAACGGCCCCTCGTCGTGCGCGCCCGTACGACGCGTGCGACTTCCTCGCGTTCGCCCGACGTGGGACGTCTGTCACGCGGTCGCCGCGCGAAACTTCTTTCGCTCTGCCGACTCCACGAACGTCGTGGTCGGCAGTGAGCAGCCGAGTCAAACGAGACGGGAAGTCGCTCGTGTCGCACCGCACGGTGGCCATCCCCCCCCCCCGCGTGGCCCTTTGGCGACGGCTCTGTTCCACTGGTCGCAACGATTGTTTTTTTCCTCCCTTCGCACGGTCGTGATCATGACGCTGTGAACGTCCTGGAAAAAGACGACTGCAGCCACTGCGGTCGAGACGCTGAGCGTTGCACTGGTCGCCAGGTGGACGGACGTCTGGGCACTTTTTTCGCGCTCGAGCAGCTACAGACGTACCGCCGACCAGGGCCATGGATCGTGTGGATCACAAGCTGTTGCATCTACTGTCTGTCTGTCTGTCTGTCCCCTCGACAGCTCGAAGAGGTCACGAAGGGGTCCCAAAAGCGACCAGTCTTGAGCGGTAGCCGGTTCGTCTGTCACCGGTCACCACGTGCTCGTCTGCAACAATGCAGTGAGGAGGATCTGCTCGCAGCATACGTGATGTTCTCACACTCGCTGCCCTACCGACTGCAGTGCTGTCATTGACAGCCTCAGGAGACGCTCCCTCGTGCATTGCAGCAGCACGTGGGTCTTGCGGGATGACGCTGTTGGCCCACAGGATTGTGGATCGGGTGTGACGGGCGCTCGAGTCGCCTCGATTGGCGTTCCCGCCCACGCTGTCGAGACTGGAAAAACGGTATTTCGCATCGCCTAAAGAGACGTTTTGAAGTACTTGACGGGCGACTGACTGCAACGAGAACAGATCGTTTCGATCACTTGTCAACCGTAAAGCGATGGCACACTGTGTGCTTGCGCTTGTACAGGCATTGTGAGCGTCCGCGACGATGGAGAAAAGCGCTTTGTCTAGAAAAGCAAAGAGCGTGCGAAGACATACGAACCTACTGGATGGCAAAACTCGGACCTCGTCGACCTCGTTTGCATCTGCTGCTTTGGGCGGGCGGGTCGGTAGGTGCGCTTTGTACCTACCTGCGTTTTTGCCGTAGCGTTGACAAACACACGCACAAAAAAGCAATAAATACGTTTTTCGCTATCACCACATCGGGTATGGCCAATGCCGCGTCAGCGATTCATGTGAGCAAATTTTCAGCCGGTTGGTCGATCGTCTGCGTCGCTACGGAGTTGCCCTCTGCACCGCACACTTGTGTCGGTCCATCTCACTGCATGCGTTTGGATGCTCAAGTTCGTCGCGACGTATCGTTCCTTTCTTGACGCTGGGACATGCATTCGGCTGTCCCTCGTGCCACTTCACTGTATCTGAGAGCCCTAAGTCCCAACAATCAGCACCTCACGTCGATAGTGAGATAGGTGCGTTCGAGATTCAATTTGTACTGAAAAGATGCCGAATATCGGGGCAACGAACGAGCGAGAATAGTTGTGGCAACGCAACGAGTATCTCATCATCAATCTCTCTATCCTACTAGAGAGGTGCCTTGATCCACCGCCGCGACCGGCGCTGTATTCTAGGCTTAGAAGATTTCAGACTTCTAGCGCGTAACCATCATGTGCAATAGACAGTCATGAATCTCTCTCTCTCTCTCTCTCTCATCTATCTCGATCTCGATCTCGATCTCGATCTCTATCGCTAGGTCTGGTAGAAAAGACAGGTGACGATGCTTCTCAGCGCGACGTACTTATCGAGCGAAAAGAAGGCTGCCGAACTCGCCCCGATCCGCTTTGACCCGGCTCGCCACGATCGATGTGGTTCACACAATACTGCACGCACAGAGAGAGCGAGGTCGTCGAAATGTACGATTGGCTTTCTGCAGGCGCGATGTTGTGTGTTTTTACTCTTTCGAGTTTGTCGTGCAAAAAGCGCTTTTACAGACTCGGACGTCGGTAAAAAAGATGGTCTGTGCTGCTAAGTTTACAATGGCTCCCGTGCAACTCAAGCGCACCACCTGAGCCCTCGCCAACTGTCTTGCACCAACAAGAGCACGTTTCCGACATCCCAACCAAACAACTTGGAGCTCCCCACGTAAAGGGGACAAGAAATCCGTACTCTCTGTACTGAAAGCATCCAAATTGCAAATGCTATTTGACGGCAACAGCCCCTGAAGTCTCTTTTGGCATCTCATCGTTCGGTGTCCGGCCCGAAATGACGCGTCTCGCATCAATGCGTCGCAAGTACTGAGCTTTTATAATGTGGTGATGGACCAACAGCATCGATCGATGCCATCGTGACGCTATGCGTGACACTTACGCCTCGCCTTCCGCCCTGTCTGCGCTTGCTACAGCTAAAGTCCCCTCTTCCGTTCAATGACTTTCGACGAAAGGACCGACCAATGCCTCGCAATTGTCGGTATGCAAAGACCAGAGTTGCCGAAGCTCAGAAGCAGAGGCATTTCTCAACTTTCGTGCAGATACATTTGCCGCTGACATTGGCGTGAGGCGGGCTACACAGCAGAGGTGTACGTTCTATCCTAATTGGTCTGTCTCAATGATGGCACCTCACTGACTCCTGCTGAAAGCGACTGCATCGAATGAAGAAGAGGAAGCGGTCAGTATCAGCCCATGGTCTCCGAACAAAGTCTGGCATAATGACAGCTATCTGTTCCTTGGTTTGTGTTGTACACTTGTCCGAGTGCATTGTCCCGAAACAGCTACCGTGAACGATGATACGGGCTGTCTTCTAGACGGACGCTACAGTATGAGCAAAACCTGTTTGCAGCACGGGTTGGCTAGTGCTTCTACGGCTACTGCATGTTCGTTCTCATCGCATCTTCTTCTCTTCGTGAAACACGGAGCGGCTCGTGATGTAAACAGGACTTTGAGTACTCGAAAGCTGCAATACGCACAGAACGCCGCGACTTTTGACCGCGATCACCGACGCAGAACAATCTGAAGCTCACGAGTTGTTTTCGTCTCATCAGTCGAATCAACTTGACGACAACTTCTTCTACTTGTCTTTGGCTGTACGGCGCTCACCTTTACTGCATTCTCGATCCGAAAGGACAACGCTACTAGTGAGAGCGCGTCGAGCGACAGCCAAACTTCTCGGTAGCTGCTTTCTTTCGATCTATCTATCTAAGTAGAAAGCTGCGACTTGAAATCGGATGTTGTTGTTGCCTGGTAACGCCCAGCTGTCGTCTCGCTCTCTTCTTTTTTTCCGTCTCTGTAACACATTAGCAGCACCCTCGAAGTGCTACAGCACACGACCTCTACGACAACACTGTGGCGAGCACACCTCACGAACACACGATCCATTTCCTACCGCGACACGCGAATATCCTACACTCGATATAGATCCATAGTGTGGATGCACTCTTCTTGGCGCAGGGCGAGCGCACGAGCGTGGGCTCTATTTCCTTTTACAATTCGCGCCAAGTGCGTTTATGAACTTGCCTTATTCACTCGTGCGCGCTTTTTTCAATGTAATTCACACATACCCACTTTTGTAGCTGGTCTCGCAATCGACGACGCGAACTGAAAAGCATGTGCCCTTTACAGGCATCGAAAAGCTGCGTCCACAACGCGAGGTGGAATCAATTTGTTTTAAACACATGCATCAAAACAAAGGTACCAATCCATGCAACGCCACGGCCGTTCCTCGTGCAAAGAACTTCTTCCTCACCGAAAACGTTCATACAAAGTACCTCAAAATCGTCCGTCGAGCACCACCAGCAGCAGCAACGCTTTTTAAATATGTCCCGATCGAATGCCCCCCATCCAGGACACCAGTCCGCCACTTTTCTCTCAATCTCAGTATGCAGACCCACCACATGTCCCACCCACCTACATTCCTACCTACATACCTACCTACCTACATACCTACCTACAGCACTACATGCCTAACTATGAAGACAAGCAGCCGCCACTTCCCACGCCGACAACTCGCGCGCTTCAATGACACACGAGAGGCAAAACGTAAACGTCTTCTTCTGCGTCGCTTCGATTGACGCGTCGATCGTGAGCTTCTTCTGGACACTGCACTTGCTGCACATGACGTTCCGGCAGATGGGGCAACTCGCAGGGAACTGCAACAAACTCCCGAGTTTGCTCAGGGGGTTATGGCACACGCCGCAATCCCGCGCAAGTACTTCAACGCCCGACGTATCGCTGCGGCGTCGTCGAGTCAATAAGTAGCTCAGCTTCTTCATAGTGGCACACTCGACAACGCCGGCACTGGACGTGATGTTGTTCGCCAGTAGCGACACACTGTAACTCGCGAGCATATCGCCGCGAAGGTCGACGAACCCCCGTCCAAACATCTCGACCACGTCGTCGGGTCTTTCTTCGAGCTGTCTCGTGATGTAACACACGGAGAGGCGGATCCGAATGACGTTATGCAGGAGGTCGAGTCGCGGGATCTCGGCCAAGTCGACCGAGTGGATCAGATAGTAAAACACGCGGCCGCCGTCGGCGTCAAAGGCCATTCCCTGCGACTCGAGGTAGACAACGTCCCGCCGCGTCGTGAACGCGCCGTAGTCGGCCGTGCCCCACTTGATCGTGACCGAGCGAAACGGATCGGCGTCGCTCGGCGACTGCAGCGTCGCAACGACTTTGCGGTCGTCGAACAAGTCGTTCTGCACGTACGAGTTCCGCACGAGCCACGCGCGGTGCGTGTTGGCCAACCCGCCGAACGCGACGTCGTCGAGCGAGCCCTTGAGCTCCCCCGTGGCGACCATGAGCGGCACGTGCGGCGGCTTGACGGCGGCCAGCACACTGTGGTCGAACAGCGACGTGGACGCCCCGTCCTCTTCGTTTGCCTCCTGACTCGACGAGCTGTGCGTGGCCGTACTGCTAATGTCGACGTCAGGAACCGGAGCGTCAAAGGCACACGGTCGGCCGTGGACGGCCGCCTGGTGCTGGTGCTGCTCGATGGCCCCGGCCGACATGAGCCGCGGCCGACTCGGGTCCGTCTTGTAGGCCTTCTTCTTCTTCTTCTTCTTTTTTTGGGAGTGGCAATGGGGTGTCCGTTTTCGTGGCAGTGGCTGCTCGGGGCCGACTTCGGGCGCGGTACACGCGGACGTTTTCCCGCGACTTGACGTGTTTCCATCGGTCAGTGGGCAGCTGCCGTCCGTTCGCGACAAACCCTTCGTACGTGTCGAGCGTTTCGGCGATGAGGGCGTCGGCCGTGTCCGTGAGCTCCTGTTGGCGCCTGGCGGACAGGTGAATGCAGTTGGGGATGCGGTCCCCTGCGGTCGGGTGGTGCTTACTAACCATAGAGACTGCGAGAGCGGGGGGGAGGGAGACCCGGAAGGAGGTGGGGGACGCACAGTCAATGAGTGAGTGGGCTGTAGGTCAACGGGGAAGTTACGTCGACGGAGGGGGTTCGGGACTGGCAGATGATGGAAGCGGGTGCTGCTTTGGCCATTACCAACAGAATTAGTATCGAGCGCGACGCCGAGTGGGTGTTGATGTTTGGGGACGTCGCGGGTGACAGTTGGCTGGTGATGATGGGACTGCAGGATAAGTGTCAAGGCATTGCTTGCCCGCGGCTTCACACTGCCACGCAGTCGTCTTTACAGAGACAGTCTCTCACGTGTCACGAAGCTCAAGTTGGCGGTCGCTCGTCGACGAGTGTCGCGTGGCAAAACGGGGGGCCAAACTTCTTCTTCTTCTTCTTCTTCTTCTTCTTCTGTCGCGACGTTGTGATTGCTGCGGCCGACCGACTGCTCTGTTGTCTGTGTCTGTCGTTGCGCTGTTGGGCTCGACGACGGGAGGTGGGTCGCCTCTCCTGGATATGCAGAGGGCGGTGAGTCAGGGGATATAGTACCGACCGTCAGGCGCGACGGTCGATGGGACAGCTGTCGGCTGCTCCGAGCAGGTGGATGCCAACTGGACGAGAGTCGATCTTCTAAGCTCGACGGCTGTGCTCGATGGCTGTGCTCGACGGCTGTGCTCGATGGCTGTGCTCGACGGCTGTGCTCTTTCGAGACGCCTGTCGTCTGTTTGCGAGGTAGTTTGCAACTTGTTTTCGTCGACGGCCACGTCGTTTGCAGCAGCAGTACCGCCGGGGACGACGACTGTCATGCGCGTGTGTGTAAGTGACTGCCGAAGTCTGCCACTTGGGCGGACATCGTCGTGAGAGTCGTCGACTTGGCAGGAAACAAATGCGTGTCACGTCGAGGCGCCCCCCCCCAACTCGACTCGACTCGTGCGTGATGCGGTTCCTGCAGGCTGTCTCTAGCCCCACGCACGCACGTCGCACTTGTTCCGCCGTGCAGGTCCTTGACGAGAGCTTAGGTCGTCTTTCTAGCACGGCGCTGGCCACTGCGCCTCGTGAGGGGGTCTGGTTGGCCCTCCTTGCAGCTGCCTCGTTTGTGCCATTCATTACGCATGAACGCACTCGGCGGCACACTTCCAGGCTGAGTGTAGGTGGAACCACGCGGTTTTGACAAGAAGGATAGTCTCATGTCTGTCGACACGACTAGCTCGAAGGTGCACTCACTGGCTACACACGAGAGCAGGCGGTCCTGGTCAGCTCAGCTGCTGCCACGGGTCGCGGCTTGCGGCTGTGGTCATCGAGACAGCGGACGGATGCGTTGCGTGGGGTTGTCCTTGTCAGCCATCGCATCGCCACGTGGTACGTTGTCTAAGGGCATACCTTCGACCGTCTTGCAGCAACGAAGGCGGCCGTGTCCCCTGCAGAGCTACCGCGTCGAAAGACCGGCACATGGCGCGCATAGAGCAGCGAGCGTAGAGGGAAGTGGGCCGACGCTGGTGCGTTTGTAATCCAAACACGACACGGCGAGGCACACTGTAGTGACGGCGTCGGCTTTTTTGTCGTGCCGTCCACTGGACGTTTGTTTTGCGGGCGCTTGACGTCGTTTGCATTGGATGAGTCTTTAGCACAGGCGCGAGGCGCGCTCGAAAGACAGCAAAGTGCTACGTCGCGTCTCGAAAGATCAGGGGCGGCATCGGGTCGTTTGTGCCTAGAGGAACACAGTCAAACGTGGACAGTTGTCGGTCCTTGTGCATGTTTCTCACCGAAAAGACCGACCGACTGTCTCGTCCTTTGGTACGACTGCCGGACCACTGCCATTAAGACGGGACGTTCTCACCTGATCGGATGGTCGCCTGGTCAGTGTGTTCCCTCTCGGTCAGAAGCAGACCGTCCAGTCTCGCGAGCTCTTTGTTTTCGAACACGCTGTCAAACAAAACATGGCGTCCATTGCACGTGCTCGAGGCCGTGCGATCGTTCACCAGGAGCACACGAAAGGCACTTAGCTGTCTACTGTGGTCAGCTTTGTCCCTTTGTTGGTCATCTTTCTACCTCGTTAATCGTTCGTGGTTGTGCTCTCGTTCATTCCCAGCCGCTAGCGCTTTCCCGCGACTTCAAAAGTCTCGCAGGTGCCACCGGATCGAGCAATCGACGGGACAAGCACAGCTGTACTTGAGCTCTGCACGGCAGATCCTCTTCGGCCGTTCTTGCGAGCTTTGAATAGGATTTTTCACCTGCGAGTACCGCCCACTTGTCGTCTATTGCTTGCTGACTTGCAGTCGGGCACACGATGTGTAGTCTTTCACAGCAAAGGGTCCATCGCCATACCATCGAATTGAAGCATTGCCGATCGTTACGTGTGCGTGTGTGTACATCCAGCGCAACTGCGTGGAAAGTGGTGCCAATGCTTTGTGCCCGCGCCACGACATTGCAGCATTCTAAGAGGTACCTACGTTTCGGAGCGTACTTGGTCGATGCAGGTACTTACCGCAGCTCGTCCAGACCAGAGTAGCACGTCGAACACAACTGTGCATTGACGGTGTGGTTCAAACCCGGTCACGTCTAGATAGCTAGTGCGAGTGCGTGTCCCTTGGCAATGTCGCTGACGACGGTGTTCGTCTCCACCGTCACGTCGCAGCGGACTGTAGACAAAGTCCACTTTCGACGGCTCCCGACTCAGTGTCATGTGCCTCGCCGTGAGAAGCTCATCGTCTACTGATCACAGTCTATTGACGCGATTTGCATGTCGTTGAAGCTCTGCTTTGGACTCCCGCGGACACTGCCAATGCGTCGGTTCGATCAGTCGCAGACAATGTGCGATTGAGATGAGATGTACCGCCGCATCGACCAGCACAAAAGAGCTGTAGCATGTGGACAACGTTCAGCAGCAGCGCCAAACTACCAGAGCACAGTGTGCCATGTGGCTGAACGTTGTATCTGGGATAAGGATGCGCGTCACTGCTTTCGTTTCGAGGTATGAAGATCAATTTTCGTAGCGACCACGTCACTCGATGCGGGCCTACGTTCACCCGCTTGTTGTTATTCGCAGCCAGCGCGACTTGCTCTTTTTCCAAGCAGAAACAATCGGTCGGCGCAATGTAAGAAGGCGTCAGTGCAATGGCCGTGAAGCGGCGTCGTTGTCGTCGACCCCGTCCCGTGTAGATCGCCAGCAACGAGACTGAGTCGTCGGGAGCAGAACGTTGTCGTCTCCTACTGTTGAGCAACTTCGCACTGCATCACTCTTCAAATTTATCGGTTTTGCAGAGGAACAAATTTACGATACACCTGGCTAGCCAGGGCTCTCACGCACGACGGACGCCGAGTCCCGTCCGTGTCCTCCCCCCGACGCGGGGGGGGGGTCGGCCGGTGGCTGCCGCCGAGCCCCTACTCACGGGGATGGAGACGGACAAGGGGCCGGGACCGCGGCCTACGTCCGCCCCGTCCTCGCCCGCCACGAGCTTTGAACTCTCTGGCGTAGGCGATTCAACCTCTCCCAGGTTGCTATCTCCCTCCCCGAACACGCCCGGAGCTATCGACGGTGTGGGGACCTGTTCCGGCGGCTCTGATACACCGGAGGTATCTGCGGCAGCGGCGGCGACGACCGACACAGCATCTACCTCCGTCGCTCCATTCGCTATGTTTCGTGCATTGATCGCGGAGATGAAGGGTTCCACAGGGACTTGTCACATGGACGTATGGAAGACGACACTTTGTGAGCTCTTTGCAGTGGAATATTCTAAATTGCCGATACGAGTGGAGGCGCTTCCGCCCCACAAAAAGCGCTTCCCCCAGTTAAAAGACGTGGAAGCGTCTAGCCTGTTACGTCTGTTCGAGCAGGTGTTTATTTCAAACTCGGGCACGTTCAAGGAGTGGCAACGGATCGCTCGGTCTTTGGGTAACGGCGTTCTCACGACAAAATGGGCGTTTACCGAGCTCATTCGGAAACTATCGAGTCAGCACAAGTGGGCGAAGGCACCGATTCTTAACCACTGGGCGAGCGTGGTACGTCATGGAACAGCTTCCACTGCATCGACAGCGGCATCCACTACCACCGAGTACGAAGATTTTATGTTTGACCCTTCCAGGTTTCCGCCGGGGGACATCGAGCATTTAACACAGCTGTGTGCGGATCGCTCGTCCGCGGGTCGGAAGGTGCAGCTGCGGGAAGGGACTGATCACGAATGGAAAATCATTGTCGGAATAGCGGAAGGGTCCGTGGCGTGTAGACGTATGCCAGACTTTCTCAGGGCTGTACTGGACAGCAAGGAGCGACTGCGGCTTTACAGTACGGTCCAGGCTCAAGTCGAAGGTCATCTTGTGCTACACCTCGCTCACACCCGTGGGATTCCTGTAGGTCGGCAAACGACACGTGCTATCACCGAGTCTATTCTGGAATCTGCTGAAATTGCTAAGGTGAACCTTCAAGAAGTGCACAAGCTGCTAGGCTTGACGAAGACCATCAATTATGACCGCTCGACCAAGTCTATCCACTTCTTCTTTTTCTCTCGAAGTGCGGCCATGGGCCTTCAGGACGTGCGCATTCCATTTCAAGGCCGTGTCTACATGCTTACTAACGAGCACCATCCGGAGCGCGGCTCCGTTTGGAACCGTCAACAAGGTCCGAGTGGAAGGGCCGGGCTTCTTCGAGCCGAGTACTCGATTATTCTTCATAATCTCACTCGTTTTAATGAAATTGGCCGCGTCGCGGCGTACCTCAAGTCGAAGATACCGACGGAATTCGACTTTGAAGATATGGATACTAATTGTCCAACATCCCGTACGTCTACTTCGTGGTTGGTCACATTTCGGCTTTCTGGATGTCCCCTCTTTCTGCAAGGAATCGTTCGTATCCTCTGGTTTGGTACTTCAATCATTCTTCGTCATCCCGACGTGGGTCGTCGCCTACAGTGCCTTCAGTGTGGTAATCTCGGTCACCCAGCCTCTCGGTGTCAATTTACGGATGACCAACTCCGGGGAGTAGGCGGCATTGAGGTTACGG